ACCAAAGGGACTAATGAGATGGTGACAGAACTGTGATAGCATTACCCTGATAGGCCAGACACTACTGGGATAGCCAGGGTAACCAAAGGGACTAATGAGATGGTGACAGAACTGTGATAGCATTACCCTGATAGGCCACACACTACTGGGATAGCCAGGGTAGCCATAGCGTAAGACTAATGAGATGGTCGCAGAACTCTGATAGCATTACCCTGATAGGCGACTTACACTACCAGGATAAGAAGGGTAACCACAGGGTAAAACAGGGTAAATAAATGGTGACAGGGCTCTGATAATGTTAAAGGTAGTGTGCCACCTTTGAAAGATTTCCCATTTTATTTTTCCTAGGAAAAGAAGCTTCTGTTTTTACCTAATATCGGAAAAAAAAATCAAAAATGGGCCTAAAATAGTGCTTTTTTCGCCTAAAAGTTTATCGGTTTTTCGATATGTATAACAACTGTAGTGGGCTGGCCTGCAAACAGGCGTCGGCAACAATCGCGAATGCGGCGCACATGTGACAATAAGCAAAGGTCATTATAGAGTTACGACGTACGGGAATGAGTTATCAGCTGTCTAATCGTAGACAACACAATGTCGAGCCTTAAACTGTAAGCCTGTATTGGTATTGTTTCTTTTATTTGGCTGTCGAACATTATTTATGGTTTGAAATATGATTTTATGTAAAATAATTGATATGAAAAAGCCGTCTCTTAACCCTCGCACGACCAGGCCATTTCTCATAACACGAACGACCAGGGGGGGGTTGTTACGACCAGGGTTGTGCTCGACTCAAAAAAAATTGCCGACTCGACTCATCATTCAACTTCAGAAAGCCCTGACTCAACTCTGACTCAAACAAGGAGCTGATTTTTTCCCTTGACTCGACTCATGACTCAAGCGGCTCAATGAAAATATTAGTTGACTCAAACTTGACTCAAATTTTTTGTTGAGTCAAGTGTGTTGACTCAAAATTGACTCAGATAAAAAAGTTGTTGAGCGGGGGGGGGGGTGAAAAAAAAAATCCGGCAGCAGGGCCAGGCCTAAGTTGTTAAGCGGGGGAGAATGAAAATCTTATATATTGTTTGTAGAAAGATGAGTCAGCTGACTCGTGTTCCTAAATGTTTTTGACTCAACTCAATGTCAAAAGTTATTTTACTGACTCAACTCTGACTCAACTCAACACCTTATTATTTTTGTCTGACTCAACTCTGACTCAACTCAACAGCTCAACATTTTATCCGACTCGACTCAAACCTGACTCATCTGAGTCAGAGTTGAGTCAAATCTCTGACTCGACTCATGAGTCAAGCACAACCCTGGTTACGACCCCCCCCCCCCTGGCGTTTCGAAACGGAAGGTCGTAGAGCTTAGCGGAAAAAACCAACGGATTGCTCTCAACGAGATCTCGCGATTGGTGGTATATTTTTTGGTCCTAGGTCAACATTTGACCTACTTTTGACCGGTCAAAGGTCAAATTTTCGGAAAAATAGACTTTTTTCAACTTTCGGCGGCGATCGCGGCAAAACGGTAGGAGATATCGACTTGAAACCTTCACTATCGTGTTCCTTGATCAATTCTCTATCGTTTGGTATGTATTTTGTTTCCCTAGCTCTAAAAATGGCGCGTTGGGAGCGCCGGAAGTCGGCAAGGTCACAGTCGGCGGCAGAAATTCGAAAAATCAAAATTTAAATTTTTGAAATCTGATTGTATTTTTGGATTTGGGAGGTCCATTTGCTCCCTATAGACGCTAATATTGCTGCATATTCCCATTGAGGTGACAAGAATTAGCAAAATAGTGGTTCGGGCGCTTTTCAAAAATAGTACCGGACGCTGTTCCTCTTGTGACGTCATAGCTCCGTGACCTGACCTGACCCGGTCAAATTTCTTATACCATATGATAGCCAATACTTGCCCCAACATGCATGGGAAGTTTCATCACGATTCATCAACCGATGTCCGTACCACCGGCAGGAAACCTCGGGCGTTGGCACTCAGTTTGTGAAAATCCGGCCGGAGGCTGTACCTCTTATGACGTCATAACTCCGTGACCTGACATGACCCGATCAATTTTTTTCGGCAAAAGATGCGCAAAGGTTGCCCCAGAGGGTATTGAAAATTTCAGCCCGCTACGACAAGCCGTTTAGCGTGCACTTCGAAAAAACCTCAGGGGGGGGGGGGGGTTGATACAACCCCCCCCCCCCCCCTAGGCGTTCTAGGGTTAAGTTATGACCCCATTTCACCACACGCAAGTGGCAGAAATGACAATGATCAGCTGACGCATTTTTCTTGGCCGAAGTCAGAGCGCGCGGCCCGACGCACCACCACCGCACCACAAAGTATGAGCAGAAGCCGCGCCCAAAGCCAGGGACCCGGTAACGTGAGGTAGCCGAGTCGGGGCAGCGTGCGCTGACCCAAGCCGGGGCCGCAGCTTTGGGCGCGGTCTACCGCATCCCCGCGGGCAGTCCCGGGCTATCACATGACACCGGGAGGACGCGCGGCCCCGGCTTGGGCCAGCGCACGCTGCCCCGACTCGGCTACCTCACGTTACCGGGGCCCTGGCTTTGGGCGCGGTCAACCGCACCACCTAACAGGCGTGTTCGAAACCGCAGGAGATGATGATGAACGGGTTTATCGAAACTTGATTGGATGAGCATATCGGTAATAGCGATTTCAGTGTGTGCATTTATTGTTCATAGTGGTGTGAAATGTGGTTGGGGTACGACCGACAACCCGTCGGGGCGAATTTCGCACTGGGGTACTCAAAATTTGAAGAATTTAAGACGTTTCCATGAGTTTTGAAGGTATGGATAAGTTCTAAAAATCCGGTTCTCCTTATCTGGGCCATTAACTCCATACGGTCCAGGAAAGCTGGCACACTACCTTTAAGACTAAATGGCTACAGGGCTGTGATTATAATGCTACTCTGATAGGCGGCATACACTACAAGGAGAGGTGGACAATCACAGGGTAATATTTAAAAAGACTTACTCTGATAGGCGATTGGAGAGGCACGGATTGATGTACTGCCCGACTCTGAGTACGCTGCAAAACAGGTCATGGAGGTCAAGGGTGGGTGAAAGGTCAGAGGAGGTCAGGTGGGGTGAAATGAGGTCAAGATCATGGATTACATAGGTGAAGGATAGTAAAGATGTCTGGTCCCAGGAGGATCAGTGGCCAGTCATGGATCACAGACAATGGAAGTAATCAGCTCCTTCAGGTCTCCAATCCTTCAGGCCTTTTCAACCTGATTGTCACAGACCCACAAGGATGAAATTCAGCATTGTGAGTTTGTATGAAGAGCCAAGGTAGGTAGGTACTCACCAGGCCGTTGCAGCATCCCCGGCGTCTGGGCCCAGGGTGGCGGGGCGCTCTTGTTGCCCCCATACTGTGACATGGTTTGTCACCCTGTCACCTCCTCCTTTCCCTGGAAACGGAATGGACAAATGTGAAATGATGGTGGGAACAATCAAAGCAATGAATCTGCCAATTTGAGGGCACAATGAAATGGAGTATGGAAAAAGCAGAAACCAGATGCCTGACCATCAGCAGTCCAATCACATAAAGTCAGTGCCGTCCGACAGTCTATCCAAGCCACCCAGTAACATCCACGTCAACATAAAATGCCGTGTTTACAATATCAGAGAGCAGGCACTTCCAAACTTTTTAAATTAAATGTCTTAAAGGAAAAGGGCCACCTTTAACATGGGGATTGAAACTGAGATAGCCATCTTGTAGCCCGTGTCCGAAAACCTGGCTGTCTACCTCCTTACGGCCGATTTCGGCCTCCATTCGTAGTTATCGGCAATTTTAAAAGAAAATACGCCAGGAATGCGTCCTTATCCCAGGAATGCGTTCTTATCCGACAATACAACCACCCGCGGCGAGGCTTTGGTTTTTTACCAATCAGCTCCAACCAGCTCAGCTTTAACCAATCAGCTTATCTGACACAATCCGACGAGTCTGTCTTCTGAACGCTGATTGGCTTGAGTGTGACGTCATCGCTATGCCATCATACAGTAGGTGCCGTAGAGAGTATCAACATAGTACCAATATGTTAAATAGTTTTAAATACTTTTTCGCGAATTGTGCACTTCTGGCACCAGTTTTAAAAAGAAAATGGAAAATAATAATGTCAAAATGAAAAACGATATCTTCATATTTCACGAAGGTGGCCCTTTTCCTTTAAAACCTGGTCACTGCTAAAGAATGTAGCTGTGTCTTGATTGAATTACCTATATCTGCGTAAAATCAAAAAAGGAAAAACAACGCATATTTTGGGAGAGCCAGAATCAAGCCAGAATCAACAAAATCATAGTTTGAGTTAATAAGATCTAGACGGTGAGAACAAATAGATGTTTGCAATGACATTTTCCTTAATAACAGAACTGATCGACTAAAATCCGTACCTTCACCTGAAATCCACTTGATTTGAAAAATATATCGCAAATAAAAATATTTTTACGACTCGCGACGCCGGCACCACAAACGTCTCACGCGTCTCATTTGCCGGCAGTAAGGTTGCTAGTTTTAGAAGCATGAGACAACTAAAGTACTGCAAAAAAATAGGACTCCCTTTTCAAATATTTTGCGTTCAGTCTCCCGGACGACACAGATTCTACCTCTGGATTCTACGCCGTCCGGCCAATCCCATTCGAGGTCGGCGGGGGCTGGGCCGCGGTTATCTAACGCTATTGGCCGGACGACGTGGAATCTTCGTCGTCCGGGACTGAGACTGCGAACATGGGGTGAAACACCACCAAACGCACCCACCAAGCATCGCACTCATACGTACTCGTACTACTGGACAACTACTGGACTGAAAAAAGAAAGAAAAATAGCCCGTCCTTCCTAACGATTACGTCAAAAAATAACATGGAATCATGAAAGCCATAGATATGAAATAAAAACTGACAACCCAAAACCGGAGAGAGCTGCAGTGATGCACTGGAAAGTCGAACTGCACGATAACGTAACAAATTGATTCAAACAAACAGAATAAATCGAAAAGGTGTCTGTATTGTCTCCGACAACGCCACACGGGTCGACCTTCCAGATCATGCACTCTACAAAGTACACCGCGCTAGCTCTCATCCACTGCAAATCGCACAAAAGCTCTGAAAATAGGTACTCGTTTCCCTGGCTGCCACAGAGAAAATCGCAACGGTCTGACATGAGGCGACCATTTCGTGACATTTTTGTAACTAATCCAACACAACACAGACCAGAGTTTACACAACACAAAAACACAGGCTACAAAAGCAACACGACGCGTGTGTTTACAACACGCGTTTACAAAGCGGTGGCGGAGGCAGTGGCGGACAGAACTTATGTTGAAATCAACATACGTAGGACAGTGTAAATGGCGAGAGACACGCTTTTCATAGAGAGGCATCCGACGCAACTATATGTAGACCAGAAACACAAAAATCCACGACGGCTTGTGTGAAGCCAAAGAGCACACAGCCCATCAGTGTGGTAAACGTATACAAAAACACGATTCGTACAAATCGGGACGCCAGTTTACGAAAAAGGTGCATCACATCACATCGTTTCAAATCGCACGTTCGTACACCACAGCCTTACTCAGTCTGGTCTCTCAGCCGGGAAAACGCATTGAAAGGTCCCGTTACATCCAATGACGTCACGAATACAAGTGACGTTGGCCATAGCCTCAAACAGCTCTTCGAGCGACACTAAATCACCCGTCTCCTCATCCGACACAGTCTCCAATCTCGTCAATTCCTCAGAGTTAATCTGTCCATCAATTTCCTCACGGCACCCTCCGTAAATCTCACCACCCATTTCTCTCACTTCGTCTCTTTCCACGCTCTTAATCACTTCTTTCCCGCATCGCGCCAGTTTCTCCTTAGTTTCTTTCTTCCTCGTGTCCTCCGAAGACCGGTCGAAGTCATCAGCGTGAGTCACCATAAGCGATGACGACTTTGACGAGGGTTCAGGATTCAGCTGACCTTTGGATTCAGCTACACAAGGCTTAAATTCAGTGGCGACTTTACTGCTGGCAGTTTGCTGGTCGTTCTTTACTGGCTCTTCCACAGTTCGCGTCGATTTGTTTTCAACGTTTTTCGCAGTTTTGTTTTTTGTCTTCCGGGGTTTCCTTTCATTGCTTTCCCCTATTTCAGCTAATTTCAACGGCTCTTTGCCGGTTTTCTTCATAGCTTTGCTGATTGTTGAGGAGGCGTTTTTCGCCCTTACTCTTCCAAGTTCTTCATCCACATGTTTCGCTGCTTTGCCCTTTCCTAATTTCGTTTGTACTGGCTTTCTTTTTCGTTTAGTCGGCTCAACAACATATCCCCTTTTCTCTTTTTGGGAGCTCATTTCACCGCTCGTACTGTCCTTATCGACAGACTTTTCTTTGACTTCAATCTCCTCCACAGCCGCGGGTTCGATTCCCGAGCCAACCGCAGTTTTCGCTTTCGATCCGACTTTGCCGCCGGAATGCATGACACCCGTAGAGTCCATTTCACTTACGCGTCCTGCTTGAGCTTTACCTTTCTTTTTCTTCTTCCCCTTTCCAGCCAATTTCTCGCTTTTCGTGACACTCGGCAATGTCTCATCAGTGATTTCGCTGTTCTTTAAACCACTTGCAATATTCGTTTTGCCACTTTTCACTGCACGCGTCTTTGCGTTAATCCCTTTCCTAGCTCCAGCATCACCTAAGTCTTTCTCACGGCTCTTTGATACAACACTGCGTGAATTTCCCTGTGCCGATTCGGGTTCGATTCCCGGTCGCTCTCCCTGTTTGCGTCTGCTGTCTGTCTGTCTGCCGCTGTCTCCGCCGGTTGCGTCCTATCGACGAGACTTGGGGACTTCGTCGGTGTCGATGACGGGCTGAGAGCCGGCTGTGGAGAGGAGAGAGGAGAGAGAGAGAGAGAGAGAGAGAGAGAGAGAGAGAGAGAGAATGAGAGAATGAGAAATGCTGACTTCGGTGGCATTGTTGAAAGTGGCATTAAAGGTAGACTGCCACCTTTTTTCCACAAAACGGTTTTCACTAGAGCTGAGCCACCTATGTCCCAGACTGAAGTCGGTTTTCCGAAATTCGAACCCGTTTGCGAGAAATCGGAGACCAAAGTTCAGTTTGATGCCATTTTTTTAGTCCAAGAAAACCGACATCTCTACTGTTTATCGATAACTTTGAAACATGAATTTTCTTATCTTTTGGTAAATATATGTCAAAACTTTGATTGTTTCGAGATCAGAGAAGAATTTTGGAGAGTCAAAATAAAAGTTAAACTTATATATTCAGTAGTTCATTTTTTCCAAAAAAGTGTGGGAAATGGGGTTTAACATGGGCCAGACCCATATTCCAAATGAGCCATGATTTTTAAATGTTTTACGACTTAAATGCAAAATAAATTAAACATGGCCAATTTCTTATGAAATCATATATTAGTAAATCATAAAATACCTTACTTTTTCAAATAAAATGTAATAATCTTATGACCTTGAAGTCTAGTGATGTGTAAACATTGTCGCTAGACATTAACCGATTGATAATTGTATGATAATCGACAATTTTTTTCGCGATTCACGTGATGATACTTTGTCAGGTGAATTCTAAAATTTTGTTTTGTCCAGGGAATAAATCATAGGCCGATCTGAGAAAACTTTTTGAAGGTGGCAGTCTTCCTTTAACCGCTCAGCTAAGCATTATAACTACGACAATAATGTTTTCGATTCGCAAAAAGTATATGTAAAACCCAGACTGCACTTGCATCCATTATGCGTAAAAACAAGCAGTACCAGTACACCATGCAATGAATTGACAATGACAAAGCATGGCAATGATTTCCCAGCACAGCATGGAATGTTATCATGAATCATGATATCTGAGGTTTATCAAAACTAAGCGAGTCAGGCAGCAAAGAGTGTCAACGAAGACCTGTTGTTTGTTACTTGGGGCTTTAGGGCGCGCCGACTACTAAGGTCATTTTGCGGCTCGATGAAGACCTAGTCAGACTGTTGCAGTGAAAAGTGAGAAAAACATAGTGTCGAAAAAGTGCGTCGGACTTACTCCTCACGAGGTCTGCTCGGCCCTCCTTGATCATCTGTCCCTCCCAGGCCACCAGGGCCTTCTGGTACTGCTCCTGAAGGCAGCCGAAAACGCGGGTTATAGTGGGATTCGAACCGGGGACCTAAGTGGTATATCATTGACAAACGGGAAGTTCTCGGTATAAAATCAACCAACATATCGATTTGAAAAAATGCATACGTGTTCGGGTAACACATACGCCAACCCCATGCGACTCACAAAGTGCGTGCCTTATTCAGTGTAATCTGTAACATTCCCAAGCCACGAACGGGAAAACAAGCCTTTGAACAATCTCAATTCTCAGGGACCCTCAGTCCACAATTCTGGACCACTATCCCGCGATCACAATAAAGAAGTTATTACTCAACACCAGGGCTGCGGAGTCGATGAATCTCTGACTACGACTCCGGCTTCCAAAAACCAACTCCGACTCCGGGCAGAACTGTCGACTCTGACTCTAACTCCGACTCCATAACCTTGCCAAGTCTGCTGAGTCGATGGATTTTTGGTGACTGCGACTCTGGCTCCGGTTTCCAGAATTCGACTCCGACTCCGGCCGACTACGACTTCAACTCCGCAGCCCAGCTCAGCACAATTGCAGCCCAGAAAACCAGCCCCTTCCTCCTTCGAACGCACCACACTCATCCAAGACCACACAAATCACACCATCTCTCCCCGATCTTACCTTGGCCTCGGTATACCGTTTGACGTAAGATGCTCGCTCGGACTCGGGTTTGTTAGCCCACTCCTTGGCCATATCAACGATAAAGTCCTGTGGATGGAGGGAGGTTTTAGTTACAATTGTTTAATTAGTGATTCACTTAGTTGACATGCTACTTTAACCTTCCCCGCCTTCAGCCAGGTGGTATTCTCTAATATCGTAGTTTTACTTTCAGATTATATTTTTACTCCATATCCATGTGGCCACTACGATCCACTTTCTTCTATTCACAGACTTGAAGTTGTGGTACGTCCCAATTCCCATCCCCCGCCCTCCGACTACGATTTCCTCTAGACCCAACACGCGACTTCTTCAATTCCCATTCCATGATCCGTCCTCTTACCCTCCCAAACGCCCGCCGTCTAATTCACATCCCCACTGGTCCCTATACAGTAGAATCCGCTTAATAAATCCTCAAATAATAAATCCAGTCGCTTATTGTGGCCACTTCAGAGCAGTTCACGGATTTATCAATAGAAGCATAACTGACTCCGGTTAATAAAGCCACCGCTTAATCAATCCCAAACGCCGTGTCATTAAGGTGGATTTATTAATCGGATTCTACTGCATCCGATTGATCTTTCTCACCTTCTGGCTCCTGTCCCCCCTCGTCGCCTGCCGGTCCTGAATGTACAACATGAACGCATTCGCCGGTTTCCTCGGTTTCTGTCGTTCATTCATCTGCCGTTTCCTTTGCCGCCTCTCCCGGCTCTCTCGTCGCTCATCGCGCGCTTTTCGCTCGGCCATCATCAGCTGATCGCGCGTCTGCGCACTGAGAGATGCCTCGAATCGCGCCATGTCCGCCTGGGGAATGGGGGCGTGGTTAGTAAAAGGTCGCTGGTTCGAATCCGGCCGGTGGATAACTTTTCATGCAATGAATGATGTCAGACTTTACATAGCCCTGCCTGAAGCAGTGGAATATAGAGCATCTGAATTAAGTCATGCCATATTCACCAAATGCAAAGTCGTGAAAACTAACATCGCCTGCACTGTGCTAACCATAGCTAACTGGGACGTCCTTAGCTCAACGACCCACCATTTAACTTCACAGAGCCCATATCACATCACTTAGACACCATTAGCTAACTGGACCATCATTAGCCAATTAAGCCACCATTACCATTAGCTCACTGGGCTATCATTAGCTAATTAAGCCCACCATTAGCTCACTGAGCTATGATTATCTCACCAGCCATTTCTCCTTGTTTGCCGAGTAGGCGTCATTGTAGCGTTTTTTGGTCGCCGTGTCCAGGTCCCTCCACAATGCCGAGGCCTTGGTCATCATCTCTGTAATGGGACACCAAGAGGGGGTGTTTGTTAGATAAGTTACACCAAGAGAGGGTGTTTGTTAGTTCAATTACACCAAGAGAGTGCATGTTAGCTCAATTACACCAAGAGAGAGTGTATGTCACCTTAGTTACACCAAGAGAGGGTGTATGTTAGTTCAATTACACCAAGAGAGAGTGTATGTTAGCTAAGCTGCACTAAGGGGGGGTGTAGGTATGTTAGATCAGTTACACCATGGGTAGGTGTTTATTAGCTCAGTTACACCATAAGGTGTAATATTGTCTCAGCAACTGCAGTTTATGGGTACAGACAAACAAAAGAAACCAGCACCGAAAAAAGTAATCGCTAGATAGATAAGTACTTAATGTCTTGAAAAAAAAAAAACAGATAAAAAAACAGAAAAACTCTGCGCCACCAGTGGGAATCGAACCCACATTTCTCACCCGAGCTCTTGGCGTCCGGCATCTGTTGCCGTAGCCGTGGTATGGTGTCGGTAACAAACTGCACATAGCCCGAGGCGGGCTTTTTGGGGCGCTCAGGGAGAGCGCCGCTGGTTCCAGGCGGAGCAGTCTTGACGCCCGCGCAGGACCTGCGAAAGAGGGAGAGTATGTATGTAGGCATTTATCCACAATCATGAGCGATCCACACATGGCGTGACGATTACTGCAATTACTGGGTGGGCAATTGGGCAATTACTGTCTAAAGTGACTGGCATTAGACATGGTTAGGACGATAATCTACAATGGCTAAAAATAACATTGAATGTTGTTAATGCCTAAAACAGTTATAAAAAGGAGGTGAAAACATGATTCTATCCTGCAGATACCGGTCCCATAGCGCCTAGCAGTAGAGGGTTGGATTCCGCGTGGTGAGAGCATGTGTTCCCGGTTATAACGCGTTCCCGGTGAGAACGGTCCGGGTTCAAAGCGTGACAGGCACTTGACGTTTATGAGCCTCCTGAGCCTTCAGCCTGACAGGTATGGTTGCGGTTGGTGGCAGACCGTAGCCAGGCGAAGTCAGTAAGGGGGCCGCCCGTGCGCAGCTATGTGCACATGTTAAACTTTGGACTCTAAATTCTGCCATCGAACCAGAATTGCATGATCGGAGGGTAGGGGGCAGGGTCAACGCAACAAGCCTTGTTTAGAGAGGGCTCTGTCCTTGTAAATCCTTTCATTCAAAAGCTGCAGACAAAATTTATGTTAAAAAATATTTACACACAAAATGCACAGCTACAATTGGAAAATGACAACACTGCGACCAATCAAGAATCAAGAAGCATTTGGGCTCCAGAAGAAGTCAAGGCCCATGTTGTAGCCAACTTTTTTTAATCATACGTTTTTCTGCGTCAGTCAATGGTCTAAGAAACATCCAATGGTAGATAAGATGTTACCACAGTAGGTAGCAGATTTAGGCAAATCTCACCTGAAGCCGAGCGAAGCAGTCATCCTCTCAACCGGCGTTATCGTTTTAATCAGGAATCTCAAAGCCATGTTTGAACCTGGATACCTATTGGCTGACTGATGTCTGAAGAAGTTTTGATGAACAGCAATCACTCTGAAACAGAGAATACCTATTTTAGAATGCCTACAATTAATAATCACAGGTGAGCATTAGGCAGGTGAGTATTAGGCAGGTGAGCATTAGGCATTAGGTTTATTACGGAGCGAGCGAAGTCTTTCCTTAGATTAACGGAAATTCCTGAGTATGAGCGGCCGGCCGGGGCCGGCCGTGCGAATGCTTTTGCGAGGCTTATATCCCAGCAACCACCTGACCGATTTACATGCAGTAATTTTTGTAGGGTAGCTTCATTCCTTCTACCAAGTACTGGACTATTCCCGATGCATGTGGGTGACCCCTTATGCACGTGCCACGTGCAAAATGAAGAGGTGTCAGTTTTGTAATTGTTACAATATCTCGGTAACTACTTGGCCGATTGCGCTGAAAGTTGGCATGTAGGTAGGCACCGAATAGGCACTGCATATCCATGTGCCAGAGATGGGGTGCTGCCGCACATGCGTATGTGCAGGGGTCGTTTCCAGATCTCGAGAAAGGCTGGACCGATTGCACTCAAATTTGGTACGCGGCTAGGGACCGGTTAGTAAGGTGCCATGCAAACGTCAGTCGGGACTCATTTTGCATGTGCGCACGTGCAGGGTGCTGCTTCCAGATCTCGAGAACTGCTGGGCCGATTGTGCTCAAATTTGGCACATCACTAGAGACCGGTTAGCAGGGTGCCATGCACAAGTCCGTTGGAGGTAACCCTTCGCAACTTCGCACGTGCAAGGCCCACCCTCTCGCTCGTTCCGCTAGTCGCCCCAAAAGGCATTATACTGGTATAGCCTAAAGCCTTGGCATTAGTTAGGCAGGTATAGGTAATGGGATGCAGCATTTCAAACTTATTTTTGGCTAGCATTACGCAAAACAATGCACAATGCATATAAATGGTCAGATAAATTGCGCACACCAGTGCCTTATAGTGTATAAGACGCACACAACAACAATGCCGCGACTTGTGCACAGGCCTATAGCCTTGGCACAGGCCTTGCTGGACAGATCACATGTTCTAATAGCTATTCCAGCATATGCTTCCGAAAGCATTTTTGCCCTTTCTCACGACGCTATTCGCTGTTCATCACAAAACGTCATATATAAAAATAATGAACACATTTCCCGCGTTTTGACAATCGTCTTTGATGCGCTGAAAACGCTTTCTTTCTGTTTATCGTTCGTCGTCTTTTCTTTATGAGGACTTTTAAAAAAATATCACTAGAAAGTGACGAATACTTCTTTCTAATCCGATCTTTAATCCTGATTTTTGCACCTTCTTAGGTCCCTATTTGATCTAAGCTTATCAGACGGGCAAGGCTATCTATGAAACCTATGCAATTGCAAACCTCAAGGCTATGTAAGGCAATTAAACGTTCGTGAGTGAAAAACGCGGATGGGTTGGTTTGAGATTCGAGTCAGTGACTCTAATTCCCGGCTCCAAAGGTCACACTCCCTGCCCCCTGTCGAGTGTCGCGCCGTGCAGACTCCAGCCGGTGTCTGCAACGGTCCACTCTGCGCTCATGGCCGTGCACCTGGTACTCGATGGCCGACCGTGACGCAGCTCGGCACCACGCCTCGGCGTAGCTGTCGTACCCTACTAACTGAATAGTGGCATGCGCCCGAGACAGCTCGGTACGGGCATGCCGGCGTCATGCCATTACTGAGCCGGCTGCCAGTCGAATATTTGTTGGTGCTTGACGAGTCCTGTGACTGTGAGAATTGCACGTAATCCTTCCAACTATCTCTCCTCAGTCCTCCCGGTCCGCTAGACAGTCGGGTGCTCTCACTCGGCCCGCCCATGGTGCCGAGCACTTCGAGGCACGACAGCCGACGCCCGACTTTTTCTTGGGCATTGTTGCAAAGTTGCAATCGCGATACACACCAATAGGCAACAAATGAATTAAAACAATGATTTCCACACTGCTCTTAGGCCAGCTGTGTTTAGCTATGCGCAAGCTTCGGTCAGATAATTGATGTTGTTGTTTTGGGTAAGGGCCAGATAATTGATAGAGGTGCAGGTTTCAACACCGGACACGGGACAACGCAATGCGCATATAGGAGCTTTTGACCAACTTTTGACTCTGAGTGCTAGCCTGAAGAGCAGTAGCAAAGTTATGCTTCGGTGAGATCGTGCTTTGATATTTGATCTGGAGTCTGGACTCTGGAGCGCACTGCGCAATGCATCGCAGCATCTGCCGCCTCGCTGGTTTCCTGTTTCTCACGGCAGTGGGCCCGGGGCCGATTAATAATTTCACTGCGGTGTTCCTTTACGGCGACGCTCTCTTGAACGACGCCATTTTGAATCCCGTTATGTTGTGAAGTTGTGTTTTGCGGCTTGGGGCTTTTCGCTGCCGTTCTGTGAATGGTGGCTGGTAGTTTTATTAGAACCGACAAAATTTGCGAAATAATCGTCTTTCATCGCCTACTTTGCTCAAGATTTTCGATAAGTTGACTGGTTTTGCGTGCTAGAGGAGTGACGCCGAGGACGTCGCTTTCGGTCAAGTCCCTCGCTTGGTAATCACGATGGTAAGCAGGGCCTATTTTAACATGTTAACTGGGGTGGCAAAACCCACCCCAGTAGTGCGGTTTTCCACCCCAGTCGTCTAACTTTGCCACCCCAGTGAAAAACAGCCCAAAAGTCTGCCCACAGATATTAGCTGCCGACAATCACGGAGGCCACACATTCTTGGGGCGCAACTCAGCCTGACAAGGGAAAATGTCTCACTGAGGCACCACCACCACCAATGGGGTGCCCTCTCACTACCGGGGGCGCCCTGCCGCAACTGTGGCGCCCTACTTTGATTGGGACACACTACCGGCAACGGGGCACCCTACCACGACTGAAGAGCCCTATCAACATTGGGGCGCCCAGATACGATTGGGGCGCCAACCACCTTTGGACGTCCTATCAGAAATGGGACGCCGTACCACTACTGGGGCGTCGTAACACAGTTGGGGAAACTACGAGGCGAATGTCAAAAAATGGATTGGTCAATAAATGGACTTTTGATGACCATATATGGGCATAAATGCAGCCCCCGCTACTAAGGGTGAAAAACGGTATAACAAGCCGGTACTTGCGGTATCGCGTCCACTTATTGGAGAGAAAAGGCTTCCCTTTTTCACTAGGAATTAGTGTGATTTGATTAAATTCGGCGAATTGACTCGAAAATGGCGATAGGAAAACGGCTTTTCTGCAGGTTCTGGGCATCACAATCAGCTGGCCAATTCAATAAATGGATTGGTTTTATGAAAGAAAATTGTTAAAAGATTTAATTTAATTACAATAAACAAAAATATTAAATTCTAAAATAATAAAATAACTACAATTAGAAAAACCATAAACAAAATAATAAAAATAGTGACATTTTTAAACCACGGTACTGCTTACATTTTTTGGCGCGTCTGTTTCAATCCGCCATATTTGCCAATCACGGTTTGACCTTGCGTTGTAACTCTGCGATTTAGAGCCGCCAGTTAATTATGCACCGGGTGAGTGTAGGCCTTGTGTGGTTAAAAAACATTCTTATGCCTTATTTTTTCATTTGAATGCTAAAATTCATTGAAAAGATGAAGTTGTCTGATTTTATGACCATATATGGTCATCGCCCCGCCCACTCCAGCCGCTGATTGGCTAATCCAATTTTTGCTTGGCTCCTCGTAGTTTCCCCAACTGAACACTACTGTGACGTTCCACTGGTGCACCATACCGCCACGAGGCGCCCTACCACCACTGGGGCGCCCACCACTACTTGGGCTCCCTACCACTACTCAGGCGCCCTGCTACAAGGTGGGCGCCCTGTCACTACTGGGGCGCCCCTCAGGGACGCCATACCGCTACTGGATCGCCCTACTGAGGGTTACTTTTAAAGGGGGAAAGGGGAAATTTCCCCCTTCGAAAATTACGCTCCCCTTTCAAATTGTGTCAGAATGGCTAGGGAGGGAAGGGGGAATTTCCCCCTGTCAAAATTATTTTTGAGACCATTTTCAATTAATTCGCTATTCAGATTCTATAGTCATCGTTATTCAGATTCTAGTCATAAATCAACGTTGCTGGCGCTAAGATATTATCAATGAGTGTGGGCAGTGGCACCGCCAGGGCGGAACTTGGAATATCCGGAAGTCCAGATTTGACCCGATACCGATCGGATGGTCGGTGAGACCGTCTCTTGTGTTGTCTCTTCGCACTCACTCAGGGGTGGATCCAGGAAAACTCCAAGGGGAGGGTCGTGAATCGAAGTGGTGCCCCTACCTATACCCAAAATTAAAAACTCAACGGTTTTCAGCCACTTAATTTTGGTGGTGCCCTAAGTTTATTTTGGGGGGGGGGCTGTGGACTGTGGTGTCCCTGTTAGGCCGCAGGTGCCTCTGGCAGGTTCGTGGTGCCGCTGGAAGGAACGTGGTGCCCCTGACAAGTCTGACGTGCCAAAGACAGACCTGTGGTGTCCCTGACATACCCATGGTGCCCCTGCGAGGCCGGTGGACCCCTGCTAGGCCGGTGATGCCCCTGCTAGGCCGGTGGTGCCCCTGGTAGGCCTGTGGTGCCACTGCTAAGCCGCTGGTGCCCCTGGGCCCTGACAGGACTGTGGTGCCACTGACAAGCCTGGTGTGTCCCCGACAGGCACGTGGTGCCCCTGACAGGCCTGTGGTGCCTCTGGAAGGGCTGTGGTGCCCCTGGGCTCTGACAAGCCTGAGGTGCCCCTGACAGGCCCGTGGTGCCCCTGATAGGCCCGTAGTGCTCTTGCTACACAGGCCTGTGGTGCCCCTTGCAGGCCTGTGGTGCCCCTGGTGCCCCTGGGCCCAGACAGGACTGTGGTTCCCATGACAGAACTGTGGTGTCCCTGACAAGCCTGAAGTGTCCCCCGACAGGCCCGTGGTGCCCCTGCGAGGCCGGTGGTGCCCCAGGCAGGTCTCTGGTGCCCCTGACAGGCCCGTGGTTGGTGCCCCTGCTAGGCCTGTGGTGCCCCTGTCAGGCTTGTGGTGTCCCTGATAGGCCGGTAGTGCCCCTGGCAGAGCCCCTGGCAGACCTTTGGTGCCCCCGGGCCCCAGGGGGGTCAAGACCCATGCGACCCCCCCCCCCTTTGGATCCGCCACTGCACTCACTGACATCGGTACAGGCGTCGGCTAGAAACCGTCGGGGGACGGGGGTCATGACTTCCCCGAATTTTATTCCATCTCTCAACTTTTCCTGTAAAAGTAACCCTGGTGCTACTACTATTAAGGCGCCTTACCACAACTGAGGCGATATGTCGGTACGGGTATCAACGGTGCATCAATGACAAATAGCAATATACAAACCAGTAAAACGCCTTTTGGGCGAAGAACGAGCGAGCGAGATAGTGAGCCCTGCACGTGCGGAAGGGCGAGAGGGTGCTTCCAACGGGCTTGCGCAAAGCACCCTTCTAACCGGTTGCTAGCGGTGTGCCAAATTTGAACGCAATCGGCCCAGCCGTTCCTGAGATCTGGAAGCGGTATTCTGCACGTGCGCACGTGCAAACGGGGTCCAAAATGACTTTTGCACGGCACCCTACTAACTGGTCCCCAGCCGTGTACCAAATTTGAGCGCAATCGGCCCAGCCGTTCTCGAGATCTGGAAACGCCCCCTGCACGTGCGCACGTGCAGCAGCACCCTAACCGCAACACATGGGAATGCATTGCCTGGTGGGTACCTACCTGTATGCCAAGTTTCAGCGAAATCGCCCCAGTAATTACCGAGTTACTGAAATGGGAACAAATTTTGCACCCCTTATTGTTGTATTTTGCACGTGCACTGGGGGTGACCCACATGCATCGAGACTATCCTATTTTGGGTAGAAGAGATGCTGCTACCCTACAAAAATTACCGCAAGTCAATCGCCCAAGCGGCTGCTGAGATATGAGCCTCTCAAAATCACTACTTTTGCAAAACACTTTGAACACCCCTGACTTTTCACGTGGCACGTGCCACGATGGTCACTGAGATGTATCAAAAATAGTCAATTACGGGGTAGAAGGGATGGGGCTACCCAACAAAAAAGACCGCAGGCCAATCGGTCCAGCGGTTGCTGAGATATAAGCCTCTCAAAAGCGTTACAGGCCGGGCCGGGCCGGGCCGGGCCGGGCCGGGCCGGGCCGGGCCGGGCCGGGCCGCTCATACTGAGATTTTTCCGTTATATTGAAAAGACTCACTTCGCTCGCTGCGCTCGCTCGCTCGTAATTACAACAGTGGCGGCAGAACACCTTCACCTTCTGGCGACGGGGCACCGCCGACTTTTGGTCGCATTCTTTCCATGGAACGCCAAAAGGGCTAATGTTAAAATGCCAAAATCAAAGGGGGGCACGGTGCCCCGGTGCCCCCCCCCCCCCCGTTCCGCCGCCTATTAATTACAACACTGGTCACCAATGCATCTTTCTTGGCATTACAGAACCATAAGCGCTTCAAAATCTGGAGAGCGTCTCGGGGCAGTGGCGTGGCGAGATATTTAGATTTATCTACAATCAACAATGGGGTGAAGTTGTTTGGAATTGAAGTTGGAAGTTGGGGGGGGGGGGCGCCCACACAAGAGACAGGGGCGCCACCACTGCCTGGCCACCCCAGTCCAATTGTCTTAAAATAGGCCCTGATGGTAAGTGGCTATCGTGAAGGATTCTGATGCATGCAAGGAAAAATAAAGTTGCATTCGAGGTATACAATATTTGCTGGTTGCTAAACTATTGATGATTTGAAGTGTTATTTCAATGATTTGTGAGATGTCCACATGCTCGGTATATTCTTTACCTACCTAAGCGTGGCTGAGTCCTGTATTTTATATCCAAGGTTAATCCAGCACTTCTCTAACAAATAAATCCTGAGCATATCTGACCACCTTCCCCTCCATTCACAGGCTCTGGACGGGCAGAAGTTCTGTCTCAAGTGGGACGGATTCCAGAGTAGCGTGACGTCGCTGTTCGACAACCTCAGGCAGGTAGAGGAGCTGGTGGACATCACGCTCTGCTGCGAGGGCCACCAGGTGCGCGCGCACAGGATGATGCTGTCCGTCTGCAGCCCGTACTTCAGGGATCTGCTGAAGGTGAGGCTCAGTTTGAAATTAAATGGCATCAATGGCCTGGGCCCTGGTTCACCGGTGATAGCAGCACGCTGCTATTACACGTGTCAAATTGGGTTTCCATGGAGACGTCAACAAGCCTATTCCTCCAACACTACCAGAAGTGTGACGTCAGCTTGCGAAATGGAATAGCAGCGTGCTGCTGTCACCGGTGAAACAGGGCTCTGGCAAGCTGGTGTCTGGTGGCAGGCTGATGGATAGTAAAGTAAGAGGGCTGGTGTGAACAGTAAAATAGCCAGTAAGATATGGAGACAAGGTGAATATGTATTGCACATAACTTTCCTTCCATTTGTAAACTGATTTTGATGACTGGATTTTTATAAACTTCAGGAATTTGATAAACTAGCAACCTGCTGGGGATCCTGGAATTTCACGCCCTTTGTGGAGAGGGATGTTCGAACACGCACCTCCTTCTGACTCAGCTCCTGGGCCAAGAAGCGACACTGAGTAGGTGATGTTTGAAAGAGCGTAAAAATATTGACAAAATAACCTCAGTCACTTTTTGTCAGGTGAAAGGTCAGGTCACCAGAGTTCATTGGAGGCCAAATTTTACCTATTTTCACGTTGAATGTCGACAATTTTCTACAAATTGTCACAAATCTGAACCCAATAGAGCTACAAAGTTGCAGAAAAACTCAGTCTTATTGATGCTTTTTCCAGGTAATTCTCTCAGATATAATCTAAGGTCAATGGTTTGCAACAGCCCCTTGTCAAGATGCATTAACCGGTCTCCCCCGTATATGAGGGGGGGGGGGGATTTGAACGGACCCTTCTCGGTTCTTTCGCGAATAACTCGCGTAAAAAGTGGCCGATCGCGACGAAGCTTACAATACTGTCGAGTTGATCAATTTTACACCTACAGTGAAAATTTAATGACCCTGACCCAATTGACCTGTGACCTATTTCTCGACACCATTTTTGGCCGGAATCGCGATTCGGCGTATGTCGGCTCGCATTAGCCGCGCGTTTGCTGTCTTTTCGTGGTTTCAAACGTTCAAACACGCGATATGATGTTGGTCACATGCATTAGAGTGTGTCACTTGGGTGTCAAGGTCACCTGAAGGTCAGGTCAGGTCACTGACCTTAGATGACCTCAGCTCACTGAGTTTTACATTCAAAAGATTCGGACTAAATTTATCAAAAGAAACACCTCCGCCCCCGAGCAGGGTGTGATAATGTGATTAATGAAAAGTTTGTTAACCCGCGCCCCAGTGGCGGTCTCAGCCAACTTCGCCCTAGTGGGGGGGGGGGGGCATATGTTACCACCCACCTCTAACTAAAAAACTAAGAGGGCTAGAAAGACGCGGTAAAAAGCAGTCGATAGCTCTCAATGCGTACGTTTGAAAGTATTTCAGTCATTTTTCATCTTAGAGCAATATTGGGGTCACCAGAGGTCATCAAAGGTCAAAATTTGCCAATGGTCATTGTATTTTTCAGAAAACATGCCGTTATCTCAGGAACTATGGTAGCTAGAAAAACGAATTGAAAAGCAATCGATAGCTCTTGAACTCTTCTTTTGAAAAGGTCATTATCAAAATTGACCTCAGGTCACGGGTTTAGCGTCCAGAGGGCAAAAACTCCAAAAATAGCTGTTTTTACGAAAAGACACCTTCGACAATAACTTTCGACAACAAAAAGCCACGACATTTCTATTACAAGAATCGTGTTCCTCTCGCCGAGACGCGTCGAATGAACTATAATTTGACCTTGAAAGGTCAACTTGAAAATTTGACCTCAGGTCAAGGTCATGACCTTACCGGAAAAGGTCATGTTGCATATCAGTCGATGCGTCTCGGCAAGACAAACACAATGAGACCATCCCCAGCGTTCTATCTCTTTCCAATCGCGAGTAATTGGCAAAAATCTGTTTGTAGCCTCAAATGACCTCAGATGACCTTTCTAGAGGCTATCAGCAAAAATGACACCCTGGTCATCACGGTTGGTCCAAATCATTGTGATTTTGAAATATTTGGACTGTTCCTATGCGTACACACGGATCTAGAGGCGTTTTCATTTTTCTCCAATGGCTTGTAATGGAAAGGTCACGCCACTGACCTGACCTTAGGTCACGGATATAAAAAATCCGAGATATACAAATTGTAGGCGCCCATAATATCATGCAATCCACCAAGTTTAAAACCTTTCTGACAAACACTGCACGCTGGACATGATTGCAAACTTTTTTAGGCTTGGTCAGTTAACTTGACCTGATGACCTGACCTGACATGACCTGGGGTCAAAAATTTCACACATTGTCCAAAATTAATGTACCAAAAGCTACCCCAAGCGGCGCGGCGCTACGCGCCGCGGTTTTTTATTTATACGCAAAAAAACGCGACAGGGTGGTAACATATGCCCCCCCCCCACACTGGGGCGAAGGTTAAAGGTAGTGTGCCACCTTTGAAAGATTTCCCATTTTATTTTTCCTAGGATAAGAAGCTTCTGTTTTTACATAATATCGCAAAAAAAATCAAAAATGGGCCTGGAATAGTGCCTTTTTCGCCTAAAAGTTTTTCGGTTTTTAGATATGTATAACAACTGTAGTGGGCTCACCTGCAAACAGGCGTCGGGCAACAATCGCGAATGCGGCGCACTTGTGACAATAAGCAAAGGTCATTATAATTTTACGACCATACGACGTACGGGAATGAGTTATCAGCTGTCTAATCGTAGACAACACAATGTCGAGCCTTAAACTGTAAGCCCGTATTGGTATTGTTTCTTTTATTTGGCTGTCGAACATTATTTATGGTTTGAAATATGATTTTATGTAAAATAATTGATATGAAAAAGCCGTCTTATAAGTTATGAACCCATTTCACCACACGCAAGTGGCAGAAATGACAATGATCAGCTGACGCATTTTTCTTGGCCGAAGTCAGAGCGCGCGGCCCGACACACCCACGCGTATTTGGAAATTCCGACCTCGACGAGCATCAGAAGCCACCTAACAGGCGTGTTCGAAACCGCAGGAGATGATGATGAACGGGTTTATCGAAACTTGATTGGATGAGCATATCGGTAATAGCGATTTCAGTGTGTGCAGTTATTGTTCATAGTGGTGTGAAATGTGGTTGGGGTACGACCGACAACCCGTCGGGGCGAATTTCGCACTGGGGTACTCAAAATTTGAAGAATTTAAGACGTTTCCATGAGTTTTGAAGGTATGGATAAGTTCTAAAAATCCGGTTCTCCTTATCTGGGCCATTAACTCCATACGGTCCAAGAAAGCTGGCACACTACCTTTAAAGCTCTGGTCCTCAAAATAGAAATAACTATCAGTTGTAGCTGAAACTTCAGACCATAAAAACGTGCATTTTGTGATGTGTACCCAAACGTGGCCATGCTGACACTGACAGTCATGTTCCAGAATGTGTTAAAGCTGACGCTTTTGTCTTTCTTTTCTCTGCAGAACAATCCGTGCCAGCAGATGGTGTTCTTCCTCAAAGACACCACGGCGGCCGACCTTAACGCGGTCATCGAGTTCATATACAAGGGGAGCGTGAACGTGTCGCAGAGCCAGCTGGCCAGCTTCATCAAGACGGCGGAGATGCTGCAGATCCGGGGACTGAGCGGCGAGGAGGATAAGGTGGTTGTGGGAGTAGATGAAAGGGGAAAGAGGATATGAGAGGAAAATACTGTCGTGAGAAGGCAAAAACGATAACGTTGGGTCAGATGTCATTGCATCAGGCCAGACTAGGTCACCTGAGTGTGATCGGTTTTGCCTTTGTACGGTAGAATAGGTTGTTAGGGTGCGTTGTGAGCATAGGTTGGAGTATATATTGAGAGTCTGAGACATGGTATGGGAATGATGCAGGAGAGGTTTCATTGCTAACTGTTTAATTTTGATCTACCGTAACAGATTGATCATATCATACTCAACAGCTGCTTGTCTATCCCCTCCCCTGCTTGTCAGCAATCTGTGACCGACCACCAGCTAGTGGCCGCCTCTCTAACCGCAGTTTCTCGTTCTCTCCACCAGGCGGCGCCGCCTCCGTCACCACGCCGCACCCCCGCCGCCCCTGCCGCCGCTACGCCACCACACAAACGCCGGCGTATCTCGGGTTCGGACACCATCCCGCGCCGCTCGCCAGCTTCACCATCTCAACGACCACGGACACCAACCCCGCCACCTGGTGGACAACCGCTACCACCACCACCACCACCACCTCAACCGGCCCTACAAGATCTCACGCTTGAGCAGACACAACACATGGATCACCAACCTCCACCGCCGCCTCAACACTCTACACACGCTCCGACGCCAGTGGCAGAGTCGGTTAAAGTCGAGAAGATTGATCTCACTGAAGATGAAGAAGAGGCGAGTCTCGACTCGACGCTATGCCATGTCGCGGAGTATGAAGGTGGTTATGATGGGTCGAACTCTGGAATGGAACAGATGCCCATGCTGTCGGCTGACGCGTTAGGAGGATGTGAGTATATTTTGGAGGGGGGGGGGGTTGGTAGAGGAGAGGGAGAGGGAGGGTTTAGAGAAAGTTCAGAGCGTTTGAACATTTTGGAGGAGAGGGATGGTTGGTTAGAGGGATGGTAGAAGGAGGTTTTGTATACTTTTTGTATACTTTTTGGACAGGGCAAGGTTGAGAGCGGGTGGGTGTATTGGAGAGAGGATTGGTTGTGTAAAGAGTATGTAAATGTATCGGATACAGCAGAGAAAGAGTGGGTTCAAGGTCGTCTTGTCTCATATTGGTCTCTCCCGCCCCGTGCCCCTCCACTAAACAGACACCCTCCCCAGTATCTCCCCCACTGACCCTTCCCCCTCTCAACCCCACTGACCGCCCCCCCCCCCCTCCCCCCTCCCACAGTGCCACCGCTGGGCGCCGGGCCGTCTCAGCCGGCCCGCCCCCATGGTCTACCCCACACCCCGGGCGGAGCCCAACCAGAGGACGGATCAGGAGCAGGTAGGCTCGGGAACTGTGTGGGATTGCCCGAGGTGAGCCCTAGGGATATCCCTAGGGTGATGCCTGGGGTTAACCTCACCCGTGCGAACACACACATACAAGGCGGCGGTTAGGACGTGTGGCTGTAGAATGGCAATGGCTAGGTGTCATGGGTGTGCTGGCGTTAGTGGCTGACTGGGCTGAACTTCCAAAATTAACTGACGTGGCAGCTGTTAGTAGTCGGCATATTGCTCTGTAAAGTCTCGAAATTCCTTAACTAACAAGGCGAGGAAATGTTTTAAGCTTTACAAGCCTGCTAATAAGTAGGTAAGAGCTTAGTCGCAGCAGTACGTCATGAACAAACCCTTTGTCGTGGTGACGTGGTTATTATTCGTAAAGTTGACGATAACACGTCTGACTCTCGTTTTTATCATTTGGCCAACGCTTTTTAAACAGATTACAAACTGAAATGAGCCAGCCTAGCTCCCTATTGAGCTCATATGTGGCCGTTGCAGCGCTAAGCCCTTCAAATATCGGAAGTTTGATGTTTTTAAATTGCCAGCATTGTTTGTCATCGTCGTGAAATCTCTGACGCCTCGTACTGGCAAATGCTTGAAACGAAAATAACATGGTCATTTCGTCTTCTGGCGCCGTAAATTCTGGTAGGCATCGCTTCCAAAAATATCGATAAAATATTCTTTTTCGGAAAAAATATCCGCACTTCCAAAAAAAAAGAAGAAATGGCTGCCAGCGGTACATAGTTGGCTTGCGCGGAACGTGCCATACTTATCCACTGAGCACGTATTTATTCCGGCAGGCCCGTATATATGACTACCAGCCGGATCTTTGTGTATAGGGCGCGTGTGATCCCAGCCATAAATTTGGCATCGTTAGGTTTTGATTGCGTCGTGAAAATTATATAATGACTTACAGTGGTTCATTGATGAGCTTCGTGCGGCAACTTCTTCCCATATTTCATGATGTAGCATTAATTTTCACGTTCCACCACCCATAATTCATTTTCCAGTTTTCAACAACTTTTTGCTTTTGTCAATAAATAATTGTTTGAAACGGTTTCAATTATTCATCAAGTCTTTCCATTTTTCTTTTACTGCAAAGAAAATGTAAAGTTCGCTAAGAAAAGCTCTCTTTCCGTCTACTCTTTACATCCGATTCCCATATAGCAATGTAAGGCTCTGATCACACCGTCTTACGAGTAATTCGACCGGACTGGTGGTATTTTTACGGAACTAAGAACGCACCTAGACGCACGGATGGGACTGGTTGGCTGGCCGGATGGATATAGGTTTGAGTGAAAGAGGGAGAAGGCTGGAGGGGTGCGGAGGACAGATAAAGGGATAGAATGAGAAGGGAGGGATGTGGGATTCCGTTAGGGAAAGCGATGGCTGTAGGCAAATACGGAAAAAGTAGGGTAAGTTTTAGAATGGCCCAGGTAGACTGCACTGTTGGCGGAGGAATTAATGGGGGGTAGGGGAGAGGGAAGAGCAAGCACTACGTTACGAAGGTTGATTGATAGAAGAGAAATATGAAGGTGGCACAATAAATCTGAAAATCGGGAATGTAATTGATGGCGCAAGGGTGAGACTAGCGGCTCTGATTAAAAACCAAGGGTAATTTTAAGGAAACATCCGAATTAGAGATGGAAGGCTATATAGAGGTGCAGGGCGCCTTGCGCAATTGCTTAGTGGTGTACTAATATTTCAGTTGAAGGGTGGGACGGTGGAAAGGGATGTGGTAAGGGTGGGTGAAGTTAGGCCGGGCTGCATCAACTATCAATTGTGAGGCTAGCAGAGGACGAGAAGCCTCATAAGATAGGCTAATAAATTGTGGACGATGGTTATATGGTGGCTTCACTGGAAGGTATGAGATTATCTTCAGAATATCTAGATGTGGACCCAGAGGAAGCAAGTGTCAACCACCCCACAATACCTACGTCCTTTCAGGGGTTAAGCGGGTCCCTGCGGTTCATTGTTCCGTTAGAATATCGATATGTCTTTCCTTCCGTCCGGCCGGCCAGCCCGCCTAAATCCCTGCGCATCATGTAGTGCTTTCAGTGGATGTGTAGGGCACACCGTGTAGGAAGTTAAAGCCGCCTTTTGTGTGTGTGGTCGCACGGGTGGGAAGTATCTGAGATCACGCATTGCTGGCGCTGATGCCGATCGTGGTGAATTGCACTACGTCGTAGTGGAATTACACCACGCTGTGGTGGATTTTACTTCGCCGTGGTAGATTGCACGGCGTTGTAAGCTATTCATGTTTTGAATCATGGACAGTGTTGGACAGTGTTGAATTGAAATACGTATCAATGTCCGTTCCCCGTTTGTTGACATTCTTGACCGTTCTACTTCTGGCATTCTTGATTAAGTTGATAAGAGTTCGATTTAGCCTCTTCAGAGACGTTGCTCCAATAATTGTCGAATTGATTGTGTGCCATTCTTCAATTAGTTTGGTCTGGTCCGTGGCTCGTTCTGTTTGCCTCCCATTTGTTCAGCATCCCACTTCGTTTGTCATTGTGAACTCCGACACTGATTTTGGATATCCTCTGCAATATTTTTTGCTATCCCGTCTACATCTGCTGCTGATGGCAAGACAGCTTGGGTCAGCCGTTCCGCACATTCAGAATATCTTTCGTCATTGCTCAGCATACGGCTCGGCTCGACTGTTGTGGCTACGGAATATCGCTAAATTGGCCTCATTTTTCGGTAAAATAAGTTTTTCGTTCTCTTTATCACTACGTCCGTATAAAAAGGTTTTCGCTCTATAACTCATTGCATCATTGGAGAAGATTGCAACTCGGTCACAGCCCGTGGTTGTGTATTTCTCAGTCTGTAGCTCCTGGCTCATTGCCTCATTCAATCGGTACTCTTCTTCTATAGTTATGCCCAACAACACTGCTGGATGTGGTTTGGCTTGTTGGTGTACCGGTTTGGTCGTTCTGCAATTCAATATCGTCTCGACAGATTTTATCATCTCGGAATTGATTTCATCGTTCGTCGTCTGACGCTGCCTCGCCTTGCTGCTTGAATGACTGAAGTTGTATACTCCATATGTCGATGTAGGCTCATGTATCATACATTCCATGCTCGAATAATCGAACGTATGCTCCAGAACTGAGGCTTCAGTTAAATTATTGTCCTTCGGTTGCTATTCGTTGCCATTGCTGGATGGAGAAAGATGTTATTTTATACCAATCTACGGGCTCCTGTTTTTCTAAGCTAATTGTTTTTATTCTCCTTGTTTGCTTTTGGCTCTCACAACCTTTCGTTACTCCCTTGTTGCCATTCGGCAAGACTACTCGAGGGCAGCGCTTTTCGAGGAGCGCTGTGGCCCGAAGGTTTGGACTTTGAATTGTGAAAAACGCCCGCTCGCCGCAAAACGCAAACACCGCAAAACGCGCAAAACGCACGCCCGAAACGCCAACGCAAACGTCGCAAAAAATAAACAAACGCCCGTTGCCATTCGGCAAGACTACCACCAAGATACCAACAACAGTTGTGCTCGTATGTCAGTAGGTAGTATTTCAACCTCCGTTAGCCGTTTTCTGGGACCAAAATCGCATTAGATTTTCGTCGTTCTCTGCCATATTTCGCTTACTGTTTTCTCTGAGACGGTGTTCCCTGATGATCGAAGATGATTTGACATAAGCCACGTAAGGATTCTTGTACGATATTTGGTTTAATGTGCATGCTGAAGCTGATTGGGCCTCGGGCGACCGGCTGTCTCATTTTGCCTTGTTCCATGCAGTGGAATTTGCAGATCGTTTTGCTTTGGCAGTCGTTGAAACCCGCTGGCGGATCTATAGAGAACATGACAATCATTCTCTCGTGATTGCTCGTGACAGCTTTATAGTCATGGAAGTAGTCGTTGCGTCGCCGTATTTCCCTTTGCGTTGAGTGTTGCTCAAGCAACTCAGTATGTGCCAAGCTTCTGAAGTCATCTTGTCTACCATCTGCGTGTTGTTTCGCTAGTGGAGTGGTTGCAAGACAATCATTGGTCTCATCTTCATGAAACACCAGTTTCTGCCAGTACTTTCTGACGTATCGGTGTTTTAGCCGTTTTTCTTCGTTGAACCACATCGTCTCCGAGACTTTGTCTGCCTTTTGTCTCCTTTACGCTGCAAATTGGCCAGGTTACGGAGTTTCCATGTATGACGCAAAGAGCCATATGCGACCTTTCTGAATGCCAGGAAAGACGTCTTTGTACGATTAAGAACGCTGTGCGACTCTTTCTTGCTGAAGGGTTGGTATATACGAGAAGCTTTGTATATGGCGTGTATGGCGTAGTTTCCGTATATAGTGCTCCCATTGTAGGATGGAAATAGGTTTGACTTCATTCTGTGCCAATACTGTCCAACATTGCCGAATTTATGCTAAGAATGCATACCCTGATAAAAGCGTTACAGTGATGCGTGATCTCAGATAATATTGTGTTGATTCGTTCGTGCTCATGATTACGCCATTGATGTGTGTTGTCGGTAAAATACGACTTATGTGCTTACAGCCTCATATGGTTTTGTATTTATTGAACGATTAAATAACTTTTTTTTTAGCCTGTGAATAAAAAGTGGCAATGACAAGATCAATAATTAGCAATCAGGCTTGTAATGTGGGCGTCTCATCGTTAAGAAATGAACTGTTTATAATTGAAGAAGAAAAAAAAACGTTCAGTTTCAATAACTGGCGCCTTCACTCACGTGTTGCTGGCAAAATTTCGCAATTTACAAAGGTGTTCTATCGCTAAAATGAGTATGCATCAGACATTGGGCCCGAACCCGACCCAGCGGACCAAACCGGGATTAAAGGTGCAAGCATCAAAATTGATTCGAGCGTTGAATGCTTTTCATGCACTGCCATATGCCTAAAATTCGAAATTCGACATTCTTCTAGCGTCTACGGTCGAAAGTGTCTTGTGGCCCATTGTGCCTGTTTTTAAATTTGGTGGTCTAAATCGGGTGGGCGATCAAGTAGGATGCAACACGCCTTGCCTTGGCACCGGGCCTCAGTCGCCCGCCCCATCACTGCGACTAAGTTTCTAGAAAACTTGACCGTTGGACCATGGAATCTTCGCCATTTTGGCCAAACTCTGCTCTCTAAATAATCGGTCCATGTTTTTGGAAGCGCACTTTTCTGGCCCAATGTTTTTCTCCCAAATAATTGAATATTGCTATTGGTTTTGTCATCATTGCTTCTTCACGTTATGCAATTGCATCAAACACCATCCTTGTCTCAAGCACATAAGTCGTATTTTGCCATATGTGTTTTTTATTATTATGAACCCAAATCCGTCAATAAGTGCTTATTACATTTTAACATAAATGCTCTCCCTAAACATTTGGCTACCTTCAATCTCCACGTATACATCAACTCAGTAGATCCACTTGACACTTTCTTATTACCTTGGACCATTTCTTTTCTTGCATCACTTCCTTATATACAATATCTCTGGCGTTTAAATACAAAATAGATAATGAACCGTCATGCGATCTTGCTGCTTTTGTTCTACTTGCTTTGAAATGGAGTTATCTGCTGAATTTCGGGACATACGAGTAGACTGTCAGTGCTGTAGATTATGAGTTTTTATATGAATTATATGCCCCATAGGCTGAATTTCCAACAGTCCATGGTTGTTCAGTGATGTAATAGTGAACCCATTAACCTTTTTGGCGTATTCTTTTAAATGTCTCTGGAAATATTGCGATATTTGAATTTGGTAGAGTATAGGCCTTCACAAACTAGAAGCTTTTTTGTTTGAATCCCTGCTGTTGTTTGCCTCATTTTTCCCATAATGGAAATTTCGTTTTCCTTTTATTTTGTTTTCTACACTAATGGCACAGGTTACCAATATTCACTCACGTTCGTCTCGCGGCCGAGCGGACGGATTTGAGACTTGGGAGCCCGAATCGGTGCTCGCTTTTTGTTTCCGATTGGGATGGCCTGCGGCCGGGCGTTTCGAAATGTGCTACTGGCTCAGTGGGTTGGGCGGCCCTGTCTGGCTGAAATTCGAAGACGGTACGCCCGAATAAATCCAAATCAGCATGCCTCAAAAGTAACCCATTGAAATTGTAGGATAATCTTCTATTTGGATGCACGTGATATGGGCCCAGAATGTTGAGCTGGAATTTGCTCTCGATGTTTATTTGTCTATTGTATTTGACAACTACCACACCAATAAAACGCTCAAGCTTGAGGCCACCAGCCCCGCGCACGGTCTCTGATCGGCTCTGGCCCTCCCCTCCTCCGCCCTCTCCCTGTCCGCCCGTCGCCCGGGGCGTCCGACCGGTCAAGGTCACCGGTCAAGGTGACCTCTGACCCCGGAAGGTCAGCTAAGTCGCTGTTGCTAGGGCGACGACGGAGGCCGAAATTAGACTTGATTGATTGGACGGTGAAACATCCCATTTTCTTCCATGTGAATTCTAATAGATCTACAGCACTGAAAGTCATGTTTTTACTCGCATGATTATGCGTAAATGCAAACGCAAAGATCGCATGACACTTTATCTAACCAAGCCCATTTACCACTGAAAATTTAATAAGTGACATTAAATTACCGGAGAGCCAATGCATCTAAAATTAGGGTATACGTAGGCAATCTTATCATAATTTGGCGTTTCTTTTTGCTAAGGTAGGCTTCCAATGCCCATGAATCATGATTTTATGGTAGCTAAAGAATTTCGCCATTGGTTCTGCTTTCAAGAATGGCTAGACTTTTCCTCTCGCTGATTTTGCGTTTAGTCGTAATTGCGCGGGACCGTCTTCCTCGCGGTGAAATTTGGCGGGAAGTGCAGTGGTGCGGCTAATTGATTTAGTGTTTTTGTGTCGGTAAGCCATCTTTCTTCGCCGTGCGTGGATATTGGTGATTTGTGCCGTTAGTGAAACACCAAATAAGGTATCGTTGCTTTTTATTCTTTATTTCTTTTGTCAGGAATTTATTCTTTATCAACCTTACTTGTCCAACCCTGAGTATATTCTGGATGATATTCTTGATGAAAGACGAATATTGATAGTTACACCGATACATACGATTTTTACATATGCCTTCTCCAGATAATGTTCTTTTTCATGACGATCGCGTATGGTTTTTTTTTTTTGGAGGGGGACTGTCTAAAAATAATGTCGATATTTCACGGTCAATGATAATTAGCTTGCCATTTTTTAGACACTCGTAGTCAGTTACTTTTACTCATCATACTTTCACTAAATCCAGGCCTCCTGTCCTGTTCATCTTTTTAATAAGTAATGGAATACTTTTACACTATCCACACTTTTGTTCAGCTTTGGCCGTGAATGTTTGCATATTTTCGTGTTTTATTGCTATTGAGTTTTTAGTGTTCGCCTGGGTTAGAAGTTTGGAGTTCTTGTATGCCGTGACTCATAACCTTTTCTTGATTACGGAGCGAGCGAAGCGAGCGGAGTCTTACGTAGAATAGCGGAAATTTCTGAGTATGAGCGGCCGGCCGGCCGGCCGGCCGGCCGTGGTCACGCTTTTGCGAGGCTTATATCTCAGCAGCCACTTGACCGATTTACACGCGGTAATTTTTGTAGGATAGCTTCATTCCTTCTACCAAGTATTGGACTATTCCCGATGCATGTGGGTGACCCCTTATGCACGTGCCACGTGCAAAACGAAGAGGTGTCAGTTTTGTAATAGTTGCAATATCTCGGTAACTACTTGGCCGATTGCGCTGAAAGTTGGCATGTAGGTAGGCACCCACTAGGCACTGCATATTCATGTGCCAGAGTTGGGGTGCTGCTGCACGTGCGCACGTGCAGGGGTCGTTTCCAGATCTCGAGAACGGCTGGACCGATGGCGCTTAAATTTGGTACACGGTTAGGGAGCAGTTAGTAGGGTGCCGTGCACAAGTCAGTTGGGACCCATTTTGCACGTGCGCACGTGCAGGGTGCCGCTTCCAGATCTCCAGAACGGCTGGGCCGATTGTGCTCAAATTTGGCACATCGCTAGAGATCGGTTAGTAGGGTGCCGTGCACAAGTCAGTTGGAGATACCCCTCGAAATTTCGCACGTGCAAGGCCCACCCTCTCGCTCGCTCCGTCAGTCGCCCCAAAAGGCGTTATACTGGTATAATTAGATATGGTCAATGGTGTTTGTTTGTATGCTGTGCGTATTTTGTTCGGGAGTATAATTTTTGTTTTCTGTCAATGTTCATTGTTCATGTGATGAGCAAAAATACATGTCACCAAAATAGGAGGCATTGATTTCGGGTGGAAGTTCTCGGTTTTCTATAACACCATAAGTAATTATTTTCGTGTTCACAACAGAATCAGGTCCATGTATAAATTAAGGTATGCAAAACAACTGCTGAAGCGTGATTTCCTTTTTACTGTTTTGTTTACATATGGTTCTTTTTTAGTTGTCTCGAGCCAAGTAGCCAGTTTTTCGTGGATATTCTCACACGGAATGCCATTTTGTAGGTTTGTGCTTGGTTATTTTTACGTGTTTTATGTTCATAGGTAGCGTGACATTTCTATGGTCCCATTTTTTCTTGGCATTTCTATTTCATCCAAATTGTTCGAAATGCCCAAAACATTTTGCTATTCTGAGGATGGCCCAAACTACATCTTCGACCGAAATTATATGGAATATTCTTGCGGTTGAGGCGCGCAAAAAAGCACCAATAAAGAAGCCAAAGGTTGTCGTACATGGAACCGATTTGCTCATTATTTACTGTGTTGTTTTAGGTATTTAGGGCATAGTAATACATTCATAGCTGCTCTCGCCGCCGGATGCCTAGCCATTCCGTTACTGCCAACACACTGCTGCCACATAACACTCGACACCTCGCCTTGAATCACGCAACCACCATCATATCCATCATCATCACCGTCGCTAACTCACTGCCGCCCGTCCTCCAGGCGTTCTGGCCTTCTCTTGCAGCCTGTGCGACAAGCGCTACAGCTCCTCCTCCTCCCTGGCCATGCACATGAAGAAGCACATGGGCGAGACGGGCTGCTACATGTGTGGACGGGTCTTCAGCATGAAGCATCATCTGAAGAGGCATCTGAGAAATGTGCATGCCGTGCCAGCGGAGAGTCTGGCTCCGGGCGCTTCAGCGCCGAGTAGTTTGGCGTCAGGATTCCCGATGTCTAGTGGCTTAGGGACTGGTTTTCCGGCTTCAAGCAGTCCTGTAACAGGTTTTCCAGCGTTGAGCGTCACGCCAGGCTTAAAGATATCAAGCGAAGTTACGCTAAGCGCTCTAACGGCAAGCTCTCCAGCGGTTGGAGGTTTTTCGTCCGGTGCTTCAAAGTCAGGTGTAACATCGGGCACTCAAGCGCTCGGCAGTGTGTGGTTTGGGAATCTAGCTTCTGGTTCTCTGGCGTTTGGAAGTCAGTCTTCTAGTACCTATGGCGGTATGGGGTCCAGAACTCCCCCTTCAACTACTCATATTGCGCGCACTTTGGGGTCTGGGAGACCTTTGGGTACACTCATTCCCCGCACCGTGGATTCTGAAACTCATTCTATGGGCACTCCTCGTACTCTGGCGTCTGGTTCTGTTTCGCCGGGAATTCCGACGCCTGAGGTGCTGACATTAGGAACCTTGCGAGTATGGCATCAAGTAGCTGGCGATGCTAGCGTAGAGGATAAAGAAGAGTCTTCGGGGGAAGGACGTGAGGAACAGGCTTGAGGAGGATGAAGTGGCTCTGTGTCTGAAGGGAAATGGTGCCAATCAATGAGGACCCACATGCGAAGGTGGCGTCATGGAGAAAGAATGGAACGACTACGTTTTTTTATGGCAACGGACTTAGAAGGCATTGAGACCCCTGAGTCGAGTGGTGTAGATGAGTTGGTCGGAATGGATAGACTAAGTAGTGTTGCAGATATTCGGACACATGTATTCCTAGAACCCGTATCTACCATTTGATGCATGACGCGTGTAGGATACGCACAGTGACAATGCGTCAAAAGCCAGCCACTTGTCGTCAAGTGGTCTGGGTTGTTTTCAAAGCGCATATTTGCCTCTGATGTCTTTTTCCGCCTTTCACTTTGTTGGATATTATGTGAACCACTGGGCAATGTATGGAATCGATGTTTTTATGCTGAAAATTGTAGGTATACTCGATCGAGTGAGACATTTAGAAGCTGGCTGTGGTGTTTCACTCGATCTGTATTATCCTCATAGATTGGCTGCTCGGATAAGTGATAGTGATGCCACTAGCTTGACATTTCTGTCATTGCTGTTTTACTCCTGGAAAAGGCGTCTCGTTGAATGGGAGCATTCTATTGTATCACTTGTCATCAGTGTCGTGTTTGTATGTTTGTCATTGCATTGTCTCACACCGTCAGAGATCATGTTGACGCCGATTCTGTGTGTAGCTCACGTAGCTGATTATTTAGTCTAAAACGTGACTGGATGTGTGTCGATGCTTGGTGTGTGCCACCGGTCGCGGCACTGATGTCAGGCTTTGATTGGGCATTTCATTGATATTCCTGTTCCTACCCGTATACCCACTTTCCCATGTTCTGCTTCGATGTCAGAGAGATGCCTAGAATTTGTTATCCGCCCAATACACAATGTAGCTCCGATCTCTTTGGCTCGTAGATTTGTGCGCGGCTTATGAACGTCGCCTTAAAGTTGTTTACCTTCTCGTTTCAAGGAATTGTGCTAGTGTTACTGTAAATAAATATGGTCAAAATTGGGATAATTGTGTTTTCTTAGCAGCGCAATGATAGTGGCCTATTCAGTCATGCCTGGACATATTAGGCCCCTACACACAGCATGGCGTATCGAGATATAACTATATGTGGAATGGTACCAATCAGCAACGTCTTCGACAGATTTTCGTCGATTTTCAATGTAAGTCCATGTCATATTGCTTGATTATGTCACTGGGTTTGAAACTTTTAAGTGAAAAATATTTACTTTTGTTCTTATACTGGTAATGATGGTCCTACCGTTCTACGCCATATCGACTTATCCCCGTGAAGCAGGCTTTTTATCGAAAACGTGCGCTTGCCGCATGTCTGTGCATTTTGAAATATATACCTGCTTTTGTGTCATCAACAGACCCAATTCATCATCATCATCATCATGGCGAATCTCTTAAAAACATCACTGCACCACCACATCAAAAACTTTCCATCGTATTTACTATCGCCACTATGACTATTGTTTACCTTTCTTAGTTCATTTATGACCATCTTGTTCTAAGCACATACCCACTACGCTCTTTTCTACGTCATCTCAAATGCCTTTTCTGCGTGAATAACCACACGGGGGCTGATATTCGTTCCTCCTCCACAGACATGCCTCGTTTCGTCTGCCAAGAATGCGGCCGATCCTACAAATACAAGGATTCTCTCTACGCTCATATCAAGATGCACAAAGGACTCACAGTGTGCAGATATTGTCAAAAGAACTTTGGGACGGTGGGTGAACTGAACCGACATATGAGGCAAAAACATAGCGTGGGTCAGACGTGATAAAAGATGGAGGAGGTAGAAAGTGAAGTGAAGCGCTGTTTACATGAAGCACAGAAACCGAAGTTTAAAGCGCAGAAGCCTGAGTTTGACAGCTGATGCGGCGAAGAAGACCGATTTGACTACTTCGCGCAACTAAATCTAAGTGTTTTGAAGAACAGAGATCGGGGCATATGTGATAGGCTTGCAACGTGATGAAAAAGGAATGAAACCGTTTTTTGAAGCGCACGTTTGTTGTGGACGTTGTTGAGTGTTTGCTGATGGCGTGATCCTGCCGTGTATGCTGTTGTACTGGAGTCAAGCTAAAAACAGCGCCTTTTGCAGTTGGCAATGGATTGATTTTTTTTGTATGAAGTAGGGCTGTATTTTTTTCATTGTCCGTTTGCTGACTGTACCGCCCTATCGCATTAGCCTTTTTTCTTTTGGCTTGATTATGAAAACGAATAAAAATACAGAATTGCTTAGGGTCCTCATTTTGTACAGTACCTGTCTTTCATTCTTCGGCGTGTCGGAATTATTTCTAGAACGTTTCATGTTAACCAGGTTTTGTAATAAGTTTCGGGTCCATCGCTTGGCATTACTGAAAGATCATGTTTATTTCGGTGAACGTCTGAGAATGTGAACTTGTAAAAGCACGAGCAATGACTTATCATCTGCCTTACCGCGTTGGACCCAAATATTGTCTCCAACATTCAGTTCTTATTATCTCATTTCCTTAGTGGATCATGCTATCCTCGGAACACATACATGCTGTGTTTTATTGCTGTTATTCCTACTTTTGTTACACCGTGGCTGCTTAGCTGGGCGTAACTAAACCCGCCATTGACAATCAACAACAAATTATTCACCCGAGATAAATTGTAACCCAATCCAAAACCACCCAACCAAACGACCAAGACCAAACACCAAGGCCCAAAATAAATCACCCAGCCAACCGCCATTCAAACCCAAGAAGACCACCTTCCCCACTCCACTATCCCCATCCCTAACATTCCCTCCTTTCTCTCTCCATTTCCAACAGATCCAGCTATCCGATGTCCCATCTGCGGTGTTCGCTTCACCCGTCGGGACTCGATGCTTCGTCACATCAAGAGGCACCCGAACTGGCGAGCTCACTACGTTAGCGGGCGAGTGCACACTTCGTCGAGAGGAGTTGGGTCTAGGTCGGGTCTAAGCTGGACTGAGAACGCTCAGGCGTTTCGTAGCGAAGCTGGCGCGTCGAAGGTAGTCAGAAGAGTGAATCAGTACCGCGCAGCACGACGTGGAGTGTGCTATAACCAGCAGGACTTGGATAAGGCCTGGGCAGTTCTTACCAGAGGCTGGTGGACGGAAAGAGTAGTGGGGAAGTAGGTGATCCTTGAAGGCTGCTGAGGAAATATGTGATCCGCAAAGGCTTGAGGTTGTGATGTAAATAAGGCATGACTTGAAGGTTGGTAGGTAGGCTGGTTAGAGGTAGGTACAATTTGTACAGCGGTACGTGCAGGCTGGTATGCCTCGAGGGTCCTGGTTCTCATAATCTGAGTTTCCACGAGTCTCTAGAGTCAAGAGTTTTTTTTTTTGCAATTAGGCGAGGGTCTTGGCTGTCATCAGTCAAGTGTTTTACTTGTCATCCTCCTAGGGCTGTCAATATTCTTGGAGAGTAACCAGGCTTCTTGTATGCCTTCTTCAAAGGGCATTGTTAGCCCTGAGCCGGGTCTTATCATTGGGCAATGGTCTTCTTGGTTGTGCGCAGGGTCCTGATTGCTACGTGAAAAGTACTAAACTTCGGCTTCATGTGATATACACAGGCCTGTGAATTAGTCAACCGTCTGTCAGGGATATTTGTCATCATTTTTGCGCTGTTTATGACGACAACTGTGGTAATATGACTGAGTGTGCCTTGTGAGCCATAGTGAACGCTGCACTGTGGTGATACGTCACTTCGTTTATAGTATGCATATTAAAGGTTTGCAGTTTTGGTGTTCAGTTCAATTTCGGTGTGACGAGTTTCATTCTCGGTAATTTGTAAATTCGTTGCGATTTGATACAAATTCTGTTATGCACGTTCTTGTGGCAACGAGTTTCCCCGATTCCACAATTTTTGTACTTAAAAGTTTTATGAGGAGACAGGATCTTAAATGTCGCGTTTGCTGCCTGTCGTGACATTGGCCTACCGAATGGCGAATCTAGTTATTTCTTTGTCATATGTTGTTGGCAATTCTAACTCCCTTTGTCTTGAAGTGTTTAACATTGTGATTTATACGCTTGGCAAGTTGTTGTCTTTGCCTATAGCTTTTACTGTTCTGATTCAACTTTTGCGTTGAACGTTCGTTGAAGGCGAAGAATGTCGTCTTTTTTAAATAAAGGAGCCATTCTCGTGTTGGTGTTAAATAAGGTACAAATGTAGGTGTTCTGCCTAAGTAGGTATAGACATGTTCCTGAGGTGTTTGGTGTTGCGCCAGGAGCCGCGCCTGACAGTTACATTTTTACTTTCAAATGCTCAACTTTAAACGTAGCGCGATTGTTGCAAACATCTTACCTTCAGCACTATCACAAATCACAAAAATCACAAACGCCAGTTTCCTGCCTATCGTTGAGTTGATAATCTGTGGGACTTCTAAAAAAAAAAACAATGTTTAGCCATGCCTCGACATTTTCTGCGCCATCAGTTATGAGACATCCACGAACTATTTCGAACTTCTGGACAAGGTAAGCGAACTAACCCCACTCTCACCATTCCCCGTAACGCTCACTAGCCCATTATTCCCTCTCCCGACCGCTCTCGCTCTTAGCGAATGTGCTACGTGAGAACAACCCAAAGCCCTCACTGTTTATCTTCATTGTGTCTCGTCTTTGTTCCAGGTGGTTACCCGAACAAGTGCAACATCTGCTTCAGAGAGTACAAACATCGCGTCTCTCTTCTGAGTCACATGAAGGTCCATCAGGGTATGACTACCTGTCCCAGATGTGAGAAAGTCTGCTGTACAGTCAAGGATCTTCGCAAGCACATGGAGAATGCACACTCGATGACACAAGCTGAAGTGAGGGGAATTATACCGACGAAGCAGAAATATGCACCGGCTGCTGTGTACTATCCGAGTCCGCAGTAAAACTAAGGTGCAGCAGTGAAGGTGCATCAGCAAATACATCAGGTGGAAATATCAGTGGATACATCAATGGGCACACCACGCTGATGCCATCTGCATTCTGGGTGTCCTTAAGTGGATTGGACACATCATTGCACACATCAGTGGAGACACGTCAGTGGATTGACCTACAGTAGATGGTAGATACAAAGGTGTCGTGACTGTGCTCAGCTGCTTGCCATGTGTCGAGCTTGACCAGTGACAGAGGTTGGTGGATATAAATACTCTCAGGTGAAGTAAAAAATATCGGGCGTGTATAGCCTCGTCGCTGGTGCGCCCTGTCACTCCAAATCATCATCATCGAAGTGAATAATCTCAACCGCAACAATCACGCAACCACATTTGGTGACGATTAACATGAGCATGAGGGCTTGTAGTGGTGTGAGAGAAGGCATGCGAGCGATGGTCGAAAAAAGGAGTAGAGGGATGGTCATATGGTTAAGTACGTGGGGGGGGGGGGGGGGCTGGACCTCATGATTAATTGCAGCAGTGTGTTGCGCAGAGCAGGGAGTTCAGCTATCGAGTTAAACGAAAAGGGGCGAGTTTTGGCATTTCTCTCAGGTTTGGCGTGTGAATGATGGATACCTATGAGGTGGCTTGCTCCGACACGTCACTAGGAGAAGTGCGCTTTTGATGACAAGACAAGCGCTGAGAAGTGCGACGGGGTTTTCGAAGGGAAAAGACGCAAATTTTTTGATTTTAGCTATTTGACTAGTAGCCGACTTTTATAGATCTGTTTTCGTATCTGATTTTCTAGTGTTTCATTCACTCTTAGGTACGTGTCGTAGATATTGCCGGTAGGAAGTGTAGAATGTTTGCCTCTGTGTAGACGATGTGTAGTTTATATTTGTGAAACCAGCTGAATGTTGCCGGTACTTTTTGTGTTTGCTAAACGTCTAGCAAAGACTCGTGTGCATGATTCTCCTATGCTGATAGTGACTTGTGCTATGCATTAGATGGAACTTAAGATTTTCTCCCAGGTGTTACAAGGCATGTGTTTCCATGGCTGTAATTTGTTTTGTCTCAATGGTTCAAATGATGTTTCCTTTGTATTATTTTGCCAAACGAAGGTGTATAATAAATCTGCCTTTGTTC